AACCATTTCGCGAGGATTTGGAAACTTTTTTAAATCAAAAGAAAAGTCTCCATACTTTGCTTCCCATTTGTCATCGATTTCTATTTGACTGTTTGAAAAGCCATGAGATTTGATCTCTTCAGCAAAAGCAATGACTTTTTGTTGGGATATATCGGCGTGATATTTAGCCCACGTTGACCTACACGTGCATATATTTTCGTTCAATTATATATCAATTATTTATTCTAGGCAATTCACTGAAATGTATATTTAGCATATTCTGTAATTATGAAAATCTTTTAGTACAGTATTTATAGGACTAATTGAAGTTTCATTTTAACTTTCCTATAGTATACATTGTAAAGTTTTATCAATACTTATCATTCACTAATCATTTATGTGAGAAAGCAATTTACAATCATTTTACAAATAGCATCTTGTTCATATTTTTAAAGATTATTGTTTTAAGTCATTATTAATGAGTACAATACATACCAAATGGGATGTGTAATCATCCGTTCGTCTGGAATGCCATTTGGTTTTGGAATCCATTTATTGGCCGCATATCTATAGACAGACATTATATCGTTTGAAGCCATTAAATGGATCACAATTTTAATTTGCTTTTTATCCAACGCATGATTATATGGAAACTTGTCGTAATCGCCAGAAAAGCAGAGCAAAGGGTTTCCCGAATTATTATCCCGTCTGACCATCAGAGGGGCTGACCTCTCGACAAATATTGCAAATCCATGCGAACCCAGAAATAAATATTCAACAATACTTCCGATGGCGTCATGAAACTGATCGTTGGTGGAGAAGGCGACCGGAGAGGCCATGTGTTTGGTCTTATCTATTGGCCACCTTTGCTGCAGTTCCTCGTAAGTACTGAACCATTTCTGGTCACCTCCGATGTGAACACAGAGCTCTTCATTTGGTAACGGATTAAACCAATCAATAGAATAATGAGATATATTTTGGTCGTTCGCCAACTCATTGACGACACCGTAATTGTGTTCGCCTCGAGGGTCGCGACTGAACACTATTTTAGCGCTTTTATCGATTCGGTTGACACTCGAGATGTCAGTCTTCAAGAAGGTTGT